ATACTAATATGATTCATGTCTCTAACCTGTATATACTTTCCAAATTGTTACTATGTACATTTTCAAAATGATTGCTGAAGGTTTATAGGGAGAAGTAATACCTGTGGTAGAAATGTTTAAACTATGGACTGAACTATGATTCAGAACAATTTTACATGTTTTAAAATAGTTGTGATTCACGTTTTTTTTCTTATTCACATTCTTCCTAGTCAATTGTTAAGTTTTAGAACATTCTAAAAATAAATATGAATAAAATATTTTTATGTGCCATGCAATTATGTACTTTTTCAATATTTAAAGACATCTTCATCTTTGTCTTGCTATTGCACTTATTGTCAAATAAAGTATTACATTATAACATGTCAATTTCTTCCAGAGAAAGAACAAGAATGTTGCCCAAAAAGTGTTGAAAGTGTCTAAAGATTTGGAAAAACTTAAAACAGAAAATCGCTAAACGTTCAAATCAATGTAATGTGCAAATGTGGCTGAAATATTTGTTTGTACAGTTTTGATGATATCATAGATTAAATCCTTCTGCCAAATTCTAAAGTTCCTCAGGCTGACCAGTTCTGACTACAGAATTGTGTTGTATCTCTTGATAATTGTATTTATACTGCATAGCAACAGGCTATTATAAACAAAGGAGACACATAACAATGTAATTGATACAGTTCTCTTTGGGGCTAAATAACTGTACTTGGATATCATAGATTGCTCATAATTAGATCAGAAAAAAATTGAATGTCATGGCTGTTTTTAACAGAGACCGCCTTTTGGATCGCCAAATAATCTGCTGAGTGGCTGACATTTTATCGAGGCGTAAACAGGGTTATATGGATATCTGAATTGTGTAGTGATTTAAAAGTGGAGTGGCAGCAGCTGAAGCACATGGTAATGGGGTACCACATTTGGTTGAGGAATATCTGGTAGCACTGCATTGGTGATGGCTACAGAGCTGGTTGTGATGCTCACTCAGATGGTGATGGCAGCAGTGGGTTTCAGGTCTAATTCTCAATCTCCACCTGAACAGTGATGGTGATGGTGACCCAGGAGACAGTGCTTAGTGGGAGCAGGAGTGAATTGGCTGGAAGAGGGCTGGCTGCATTCAGCAGCTGTCATGAGACTTGCACCCTACAGTTAGACTCAGAGGAATCGCGGTGTGTACTGTTGGTGTAAAATGAAATTAGAGATGACCTTGGGGAAGGTATGAAAGAACAGTTAAGGAGTGATTTACAGCAATATTATGCAGAGATTGAAGAAAATTTGAGAAAGAAACTCAAAATAACTCTGCCTTAATTTTATTTGATATGAGAGGGGACAGAGAGAAATGGGCAGGATTTCAGGGCAGTGTTTAATGCATCCTTGAGGGAATGGTGGTTTCTGTGGCTTTTGCAAGCAATGATCTATCCCCTCAAGAAATCATCCCTCAATTCAATAATGCTGGATTATGTTCATACAGCCCCCAACTTTTCTTTTAGGGAAAGCGATTGAGAAGATGGTTGCTTTGCTGATCCAGAAGATTCTGGAGAAAACATTAGCTGGACCTTAGTACATGGATGGCACTGGTTATACTTCGTTACAATTGGATGGGAGTGATGCATCCATTCTGATCTTCCTTAATTGCTCAATAGGTTTTAATACCATCAATCATGGTATCATTTTTTATTGGCTTCTGAGTTAGGTGTGAAATATTTCTCTATCCTTTTGTGTTGATTCCAGTTAGTGTAGATGGGGAGAAAGGTGTCAAGCCATAGATCCCTCCTTCATGAATCTCCTTAGAGTTCTACATCCTCTCCTTTTATGTTTAACATCTACATGAAGCCACTAGGTTAGGTCATTACCTTGGGATTAAAAATCATCAATTCACTGTTGATACTTAGAAATGCATCTCTATCCTGGGCCAACCAAGCTGTTAAGACAATTTCTCGGTGTCTGGAGGCTATAGTGGTTTGGATAGAGAAAAAAAAAACTTTGGTTTAACCCTGTCAAGACTGAGTGGCTGAGGGATTTGGAGGTTCCTTGATCTGAAGACGTCCATCTTTACTTCTGCATTGGTTGCACTCCCCAGATAGAACTGGTATGCAGTTTGAGAAGTCCTCTTGAACTCTGTGCTGTTTAAAACCAGGTGGCAGTGGTGGCCAAGAGAGTTTGTACAAATCCATAGTGTGCACCAGTTGTGAATATTCTTGGATCAGGAAGACCTGTTCACACCCACTAATTCCTTGTTATATCCTGCTTGGACTATAGGTAGTTCTTGACTTACAACTATTCATTTAGAGTTCAAAGTTACAACGCAGAAAAATTTTACTTATGACCAGTTTTCACACTTATAATTATTGCAGAATCCCCATGGTCATGTGATCAAAATTCAAGCATTTGTCAACAGGCATATATTTACAACAGTTGCATTGTGCCAGGGTTATGGGATCACCATTTGCAATCTTCCCAGTGCCTTCCAACAAGCAGATTTATTTAGCATATGGCATACAAGGCCAGGGAGGCTACAGTGTTATACACATGATAGATGTCTTGGCAGCCGACAGTCGCTAGTCCATTTGTTGCACCACTGCACCACAAGAAGGCGAACTAGCTTCATACCAACTGGCCTGCAGGATTCTCAGAGGAACTTGACTTATCCGGGGCTTTCCTCCACCACTCCTCGCCGATCGCATCTGGACAGATCCAGCGCCGGTTCCAGCTTCCCGCACAGAATGCAGCCAGCACTTTCCCACCATTGAAATGGCGTACCTATCTATCTATCTGCAAATAATGATTTTGAATTGCTAGGTGGGCAAGAGCTAAGGATAAGTGACGGGAGCTTACCTACCTCAGGGAGCTGGACTCAAACCACCAGAGTTCTGGCAATTGCTCAGCACATCCAGCATCATTAAGCCTCTGTGCCACTGTGTCCCTTCATACAAGCAAAGTCAATAAGGGAAGCCAGATTCACCTAATGACCACATGATTCATTAACAACTGCAGTGTGGTTGCCACTTAACTGTGGTAAAACAATATCATAAAATGGACAAAACTCACTTAACAACTGTTTTACTTAGTAATGCCAATTTTGGTCGCAATTGTGGTTGTAAGTAAGGACTACCTGTATTGCAATGGGCCCTATATGGGTTGCCCTTGAAGACTACTTGAAGTTACAGTTAGTCCAGATGCAGTATTATGTACCGTTATAAGTATACTACACTATCAACACCATTACTCTGCAAGCTGCACTGGCTCATTATAGGCCTTCGGGTACAATTCGGGGTGCTGATTACCATTGTATAGCTCTTCATTATGTTAAGCAGAGTTATTTGCAGGACTACTCATTTCTTATTGTTCCTGCCTGTTTCTCGAGATACAACAGAGTGGGCATACTTCAAGTCCACTCTATGAATCAGGGTCATTGAGTGATGTGCAGGAGACCTATCATTTTGATTTCAGCACCTACCCTTTGGAACAGTATACTTCCTGTGGTTTAGTTTCAGTCAGTATTGTGGTTTTGTGGTTTTCATGTTCTTCAAAGGGTTTTTCAATGTTTTTAATCTTACGTTAGCTATCAGTCAGAATTTCTAAGTTGATGATCATGCAAATTGCACAAATGTGCATACATCTGTATATAAAAATAAATTGTTCCTATAGTTTGGGAGAGTTGAAGGCAATATTTCTTCTACTAAAAACTTTCAGTCTTTGATAGAATTCTAATGTGTATGTATCCCTTTGCTTTCTAAGAAAACTTACTTCTGATATATTCTTGTATTGAAAAGAAGTATGTGTGGGAGTAAGAAACTTTCCCTTCTAAGGATTTGCATAGTGTATTGTGTAAATTGTATTTGTTTTTAAAATTTTAAAATAATGAGAAAAATTCATAGGTGCTTGACAGAGTTCTAGCTGCTAAATAAAGATAACTCTTATAGGTTATCTTCTTGGAAATGCAGTGCTTTTTAAAATATTATGTGTCTATCTGTTGTATGTCAGTGTACATATTGGTGATAATCCACAAAGGTATCCTTTTGTCAGTTTTTCTGCAAACTATTTATATATATATATATATATATATGCAATGTTTCTCCCATTGAAAAAAAACTATCGAATTATAAGAACTTGACTCACAAATGTTAATTGGATTATAAGCATATAATTCTAAATTAGCATATACTTCAAATCAGTGCTTGGATTCAGTTTAGTTATTATCAGGCATGTCATTTTCAGCATTAGTCTAGTTGGCATGTGGCATTTTCAAACCATATATCATTTCATTGTTTAGAAAGAAAAAAGAAAAAAGAGGTCACCAAAAGTATTCTAATTTCAATTGATTAAAATATCAAATGGATTTTTCCAACAAGGACAAAGTACAAGGATGTAATATAGAGAGAATTCCATTAAACAGGTTCATACCTTTAAATTCTTGGGGGTGGTTTTCTGTCCCAAGGGAATCTGGAGGCCCTACTAGGATCAAAATCTTCAACAGCTATAAAGCAATTATTATTTATTATTATTAAAGGAGCCAGATAGTATTGGAAGACTTATTTTCCCCCAAACTGAAACCTTAGCCCAAGTATTGTGCAGAATTAAGGTGGGTCTCTATGTTGGGAAGAATTTTTTGAAATAGTGCAGACCAAATTTCTAAGGTCTTTCCTCGTTAGACCCAGAGTAACAGCTAATGCTTTTCTTTGATTAGAAGCATGAATACCTAAAATTGAAAGCAAGGCACGGAGGCTGATGTTAAACTACTGACTAAAGCTTCAGTTTTTTTCTCTCAGGTTTACTTCTAATAATAATGGATGATGATTTTACATCAAACTGGAATAATATTACTGTGTAGAACAAACTCTAATGGCATATGGATTATCTACTAATTGTAGACAGAGATGTTTAAAATCTTTGTTTTAAAGAGTAAATATGTCTCAATCTAATATGTCTTCAAATTGTTCTAAATATTTAGTGAACAGTTTCAATAATAATGAAATATTCACATGCAATACTATCCTTTGTTTTCTCTACAGAAAATACCATGGGGTGCATTAAGAGCAAGGAAGATAAAAGTCCTACCATGAAATATAGAACTGAGAATACTCCGGAGACAATTACCTCCCCTGCCAGCAATTATGGATCTGATTCAACCCAAGCTAATCAGTCAGCTGCAGTAAAAGGACCATCGGTTAATTTTAATAGCCATTCCATGACTCCTTTTGGTGGGTCATCTGGTATGACACCTTTCGGAGGAGCATCTTCTTCATTTTCTCCAGTGCCATGTCCATATCCTAGTAGTCTAACAGGTAAGCATATTCTTAAAATTACCACTAGATCGCAAAAAAACCCCTTCAGTAGTACTGAAACAAGAGTTGTATGTGTTTAGTCTAAAATGTGTTATGTTATTAAAAAAAACTGTTGTAAGTTTGTACAAAAGTCAAGCAGTATTAGAGAAAAGCTTGATTTTGCTGCAAACAGAAATGAGTATCCTGTGCTCCAAGCAATGTGCAAAAGATGATTAAAAAATAAATACATAAATTGTACAAAACAACTTTCTGCGCCAACAATTGTACCAATGGTTGACTTCTCTTTAGTACATTTATCAACTTCCCAGGTTTTATGTAAGACTGATGCTGATTAGTTACTTACATGAAACAGATTCTTCAGGATCATGCATTCATATATACAGGTGCAAACTTGAAAAGTCATAGAATTTTTTCAGCAGAACCATGTCCTCTGTGAATATCATGCATGTCTGGGTGTAGATTCAATTAATGATAATCCCCACTAAGATGAAACCAATGATTCCTTTAATCATAAGGAAAAAACAAGGTCACTTGACCATCTAAAGAACCTCAGTTATGAATAATTTTTATGATGTTCTATGTGATTCAAAGTGATGGTTGGCTAGCCGCCTTGTTATCTTGAGCAGGGGATGATATTCATACAGTGACATAAGAAAGGATCACTCTACTACACGGGTGTCAAACTCGCCACGTCATGTGACGTGTCGCGACATATCGCAACTCTTTTTACATTGTCGGCAATGGAGTGGGCGTGGCTTCAGTATGATGAAACCGGCCTATGGGCCGGCAGTTTGACACCCCTGCTCTACTAAATGTTGCAGCTCTCCGAGCCCAAAGGTTAAAGGATAGCATTGAATAAAATATGTAGTGTTGGGCAATTTTTCAACAAACCTTTGGCATAGAAGTATTGTGATGAAAGACTGTCTATTTTGCCATCACTCACTGTTATATCCAGCAGGTATTGCATTTTTAATCAGTTTTTTTACAAAATGCTATAGGAATCGACTTTATTCACAGAAATTCCACATGTTTGGATGGAAAAGTCAAAAACAAGTGTTCAGACCTTTAAAATACCTCAGGTTTTTCTTTGTAAATAAAAGCCTAGTGTATTTTATCATTTTATTTTGTCAACAACATAATTTTCAGTAATATAGATACTGAAATTCATTTATTTCATCTTAAAATCATCAAAAGTCATTTAAAAAATATTAACAATAATCTTAAAATTTCCCTATTTTGAGTTGCATTCTTTCATTTAGTCTGCTGGTAATTTATTTTATACAAATGTGTGTAAGAAATCATTTTTTTCTGAAAATGTATGAATATTGATAGACTTGATTATTTCTAGATCAGAGGCCCCCAACCTTTTGGGCACCAGGAACCGGTTCTGTGGAGAAAGATTTTTCCACGGACCAGAGGGGGCGTGGTTTCGTGTGCTGCCTGTATCCAGCGGATGGGGCTTCACTTGTTTGCGTGGCCCAGTTGCTGCTATGCCATGGCCCGATTGTACAAAAAAAAATAAATGCGTGGATTAAACATGCTAGTTACTGAGGAAAAAATCTGAAAATGAAACATTTTGGTACCTAATAATCATGATTTATGTCATAATGAAGCTAGCATGCAGTAAACTAATCTCAAGCATGGAACAGAATGCAAGGAGCTCAGTGTTCTAGATCTCTTCAGACTTGAATTTATGGACATCTCTTGTAACAGCCTGAATATGCATTTGTGCTCAAGGAATTTCCTCATAATTTGAGAAACCTCTATCAGCCTCTAATTAATCTTTTTACTAAACTGCAAAGCTTCCAAAAGCTTTTCTGTGGCAAACTTCCCAACATCACCACTACTCCGCATACACGCCAAACAACACACACACATACTCTCACACATTATATTTGGACCCTACGTTAGCTGGTTTGGAATTGTGCTATGGTAGCAGTAATAAGAAGTCCGTTTACAGAAATGATCATCTATAATCGACGTAAGTGTTTAGAAAAAAATACATATGGTGAAATGTTTTGGTTTTGGCAAACCCAAGCACTAAAAAATGCTTTAAGGAAAAGTCAAATTAGATAATTAACTCTTTCCATATGGATGTCTTGGTCTAAGTGCAGCCAAAAAGATTCCTAAATGGGAATGTTTGTAGTGTATGTTGAATTTCTAATAATTCAGAATCCAGTTTTCCATCAGGCCTTAGGGATGGAAATGCTATGAGCTATTCCATCTCTTTCAATTAGTAAACGTACACTCCCTCAGGTCCTGCTTTGCTGCAGGGGGAGGTTCCTGGGAGGGGTGAATGAAGGATGCCATGCTTGTACACCAAGCATAAATTCTCCTAGCAAGGTCATCCTCAGCATGAAGATCATCCCAGCAACCCAACTAAAGCAAACAGGCACCTATATTGGACAGCAGCAATACAGTATAGGAAGATGCCTGAGGTAGATGATCATTTTAGTATCAAGAGCAAAAGCATCAATTCATATTATATTGAGAAAGCAGTAGTAAACTGTTCCTTTTATTTTTCCAAGTAAGTCAGAAGGGTGGACAAGATAAAGTGATTGTTGATTATAGTGCCATAAGATGGGTCTCTCAAGCATGCTACTGAGGAAGAATTGAGAATCTTTCACAGTACTAATGTCTAAAATATGCCAAATTCTTCAGGACATCTAGTTGCTAAGACCCAGTGTGGTGGAGTGGTTAACATGCTGACCTAGAAACCAAGAGATTTTAAGTTCTAGTCCTGCATTAGGCTGGGTGACTTTGGGCCAGTTACACACGCTCAGCCCAACCCACCTTACAGGGTTGTTGTGGTGAAATTAAGAGGAAGAAGGAGCATTATGTATGTTCACTGCTTTGAGTTTCCTATAAAGTAATTCAAAGTTATTTCCAACCTTCATCACAACAAGTATAAACACATGTTCTATTCTCTTCAAGGCAACAGCTAATTATCTCTTCATTCCCATAAACCTTCCTTTATCTGTAGGCAAATCCATAAAACATCTTTTCAGTCCTGGTGTTAGCAGAAATCCACAAATGATTGCCAGAAGTAACAACAGGCCTTTTTAACATTGATAAAATAAACCAACTTAGATTCCTTAATTTTACTAACAGTTTTAATCTTCATTCACATATTGTCATAGGATTTGGTTTCTCTTCCATTTCTTCTTTATCCCATCACACAGAATTCTTCTTTAGCCAATTTTTTTTTCTAAATTCAATCAGCAAAAATACCTAGATGACTTTCCAAAAGATTCTAATAGCTTAAAAATAGTTAATAAGCAATTTCCAAAAGTCACTAGAAAGCAAGAGGCTGAACATGGTTGCAACCAAAATGGCTATTCCTGCCATTTCCAAGACCCACACCTGCAAGAGACCATTGCCCTTTGATCTCCTAGCAAGGAACAGCACATGTGTGCCATCTCCTGTCCTCTCCTTATCTGGAGAGATTCCATGGAACCAGTCTACTTGTTCCTTGTGGTCAGGTCCACTTTTTCAGAGACAACCTCAATCCACCCTGGACACTGAAGTTACTGAGTTTATACAATACAAATGTTGGGTATACTTTATAAATCAATAAAATCCAAGTTTATAAATTAGTTAATTTAAACATTTTAAATTAGTTAATTTAAACATTTGTAGACTTTCTTTACTTTGAAAAATGCTTACAGACTCAATAGTGTAAAATGTGTGCGAGGAATTAATGAACAGTAATGTATATTAATATATTATACATAGTATAGTAATACATTAGCATGTTGTCAGAAGCACATAATTCTGTAATTATTTATTGTCTGCACAGTTTGCAAATTATATGGTTTTTTACAATGTTTTCTTCATGAAAGTATATGAGTTCAGTTGACATGTTAATAACTTCAGATGTGACGTTTACTCTGTTTTGGGTCTAGAATAAAGTCCATATCATATCACATGTATTCTCATGTTGGGTTAATATTCCTATTTATATTGTTATAGAATAGAATATCTGTATTGTCATTGTGTAACTCACAATGAAATTAAGTTATTAAAAATTAAATTATGTGAGGTTTTGTGTGTGTGTGTGTGTGTGTGTGTGTGTGTGTGCATGCGTTAATCTAAATGATAAATAGCAGTTGCAACAGAAATATTTATTAATAAAAGATTTGTTAGTAGAAAGAATACTATTGACCCCAACATATATTTCAAATGCTTCAGGCTAGTTCATCATTCTTGAGGTGGCAATTTATGTTTAGAGCCTCTATTGGCAAAAACCAGAATTAACATTGCAAAATATATCAAAGATGATTATTGCATTCCTGCAAGTTTATGTTGCTATTTTCTCCCAAATGCTTGAAAGGCATTTTAGTATTTGAATATAAAATATTATTTTTAATAGAGATTTGTTTATTAGATTTTTAAACATAAAATAATCTATCAACATATAATTGTCATGGGCTAGCTTTGAAAAAGAATCCATTATACAAATATCAATATTTATGGAAAAAGTACTGAAAAGGTGTACATGGAGATAAAATAGAAACCGTGGATTTTATACTGGCTTTGATTCTCCATTCTTAACCACAACAAGAAAGATTTGCAGAATTTGACGGCAACTTTATGCATTGGTATTGAAGCACAATAAACTAGAATTTGCAGCCCCATTGAGGATTGTAGCTATATTTAATACCTGATATAGCTTCACTTTAGACCAATGTTTTTTCAGACTTTGGCAATTTTTGGATGTGTAGATTTCAACTCCCAGAATACTGGCTGAAGAATTTTGGAAATTGAAGTCCACACATCTTAAAATTACTAAATTTGAAAAACACTGCTGTACATCTTTCTGGTTAACATATAGCAGTTGGAAGGGTCTATGATAAGAATGTGAACATATCCCAATATCCTATTCATATGTTTTCTACAAACTTACAGGGAAAAGCAGTCTGAAAACTTTAACATGAAAAGCAACTTTTGTAGTTTGAAATTGTTTTAACCATGAAAATATTAAATAAGTTTTTCTTAGTAATATTAATGTATTTAATCAAATGAATAGATTGCCTCAACTATGGTTGCAGACTTAGGCCATTATGAAATCAATGAATGAGTTCAGGTAATGTTTTTATTTTATAACTAAAAACATTGCTCACTTTTTAGTAAGAATATCTATTTTCTTCAAAATAAAATTGGTTAAATGCTTTTGTATATAGTACATGTGTAATCTGATTTGTATGTATTTCCTTTGTCTAGGAAAAAGTATTAATGCCATATTTTTGGGTTTTCCTAAGGGGGTGTTACTGTTTTTGTGGCTTTGTACGATTATGAAGCAAGAACTAGAGATGATCTTTCATTCAAGAAAGGGGAACGCTTTCAGATAATCAATAATACGTAAGTATTGAGTCAACTTATGGACTTAATTACACACTGTTAGCCATTCACATTCCTCTACCTATGTTAATAGTATTGCTGATAAGGAAAAGACTTCAGTCATAAGAGAATAAAAGAGTAAGAAAAATGACCCCATGAGGAGGAGGAGGAGAAGGAAGAGATACAGCACAATTGGATTTGCAAGATTCTATTATTATAGTCAATCTCAATAAAATAGTTCTAACCCTTTCAGTGGAGGTTTTTTTTTTTAATCTCATATACCTAGTATGGCTGATATCAATCTTACAAGTCTTATTGTGTTGTATCTGTTCTATCTTCTTATAATTCAGTGAATTAGAGAAGTGTCTATATGAGCTACTGTCTCAACAGTCTGGTCTTTAAAAATGTTTTATTCTTGTTGCTTTAGCAAAAGGGTTTGCATACCTCTATCAAAGTCATCTTCTTTATTTTCTACAGAACAGATCAGTCTAGAAGCTATAATGGTAAATTGGATTATACCATATGCTTTTAATATAATGTTTTTATCTTTATTTCTAAGACAAGTATATACAGGTTGATCTGGACTTATGATCACAATTGACCCCAAAATTGACAGCTGTTAAGTGAATTTTGCCCCATTTTATAACCTTTCTTGTCACAATTGTTAAGTGAATTGCTGCAGTTGTTAAGTTAATAACAGAGCTGTTAAGTGAATCTGGCTGTCTCATTGACTTTGCTTGCCAGAAGATTGCAAAAAGGTGATCACATGATCCCGGGATGCCATCATAAATATGTGGCAGTTGTCAACTGTCCAAATTTTGATCACATGATCATGGGGATGTTGCAATGATCATAAGTGTGAAAAACTGTTATAAGTCCCTTTTTTCAGTGCTGTTGTAACTTCAAACTAAACAAATGACATGCAACCAAATACATGCAATCATAAATGTAGTTTTTATATGGCAATTTGCAATAAGGCACTTTCAGAAGTAGATTTAATTAATACCAATTAATTCTAATTTTAGTAGAGATTCCAGTATATTAAAGATGGAACTGCATTCTCTGAATATGATCATTTTTCATCTCCTCATTAAGAGAATGTTATTTTTTCAGTTATTCGTCTGTAAAATGTGCATTTTTATTGACAATAGTAAGATTTGAAGAACATTAGAAGTTTTGAGATTTTTTTTTAAATCCCTGTTTATTTTGGTCACCATGGTATAAAAAACATGTCGAAACTCTAGAAAGAGTGCAAAGAAGAGCAACAAAAATGATTAGGGTACTGGAGGCTAAAACAAATGAAGAACAGTTGCAGGAACTGGACATGTCTAGTCTAGTGAAAAGAAGGACTAGAAGTGACATAATAGCAGTGTTCTAATATTTGAGGGGCTGCCACAAAGAAGAGGGGGTAAATTATTCTCTAAAGCACTTTGAGGCAGAACTAGAAGCAACAGATGGAAACTAATCGAGGAGAGAACCAACCTAGAACTAAGGAGAAATCTCCTGACAGTTAGAACAATTAATCATTGGAACGACTTGCCTCCAGAAGTTGTAGGATCTGTTTTTTATTTATCACATATTTATTAGAGGAAAAAACAAATGTTTCTTCCTACTGCATAGTATTTCCCTATATAGGAAAAAACATCATTTATAGTAAGGTCTAGCTGGTGTGCTATTTCATAGATGTAAATAGACATCTCAGCTAAGATGATGATGTATCAGTTCACAGTATTTCATAATTGAAAATGATTTTATTATTGTTGTTCATATATATTCACTTTAATTACATTTTTCCCTGTCCTCCCTTCCCCCTAGGGAAGGAGATTGGTGGGAAGCAAGATCTATTGCAACAGGAAAGAGTGGCTACATTCCTAGCAATTATGTGGCTCCTGCAGATTCCATACAAGCAGAAGAGTAAGACTTTATAATGTCCTTAATCATTTTTATCTGTAATAATTCAGTGGCGTTCAGTAGAATTTAATCACTCAGAAGACTTATTAGATACAAGAGGTCTTCGATTACAGCATTTGCATGAATTAAAATTAATCTCTTAAAATATGTTTGATATAGAGGAGACTGACTTTCTTAAAAAGTATTTTTAGGTTATTTTTAGAATAAATGGTTCAATTTCACATGTGTTAATATGAGTTGATGCAGGTACAATTATTGACACTTCACAATCTTTTCTTTTTTTAAAAAAAATATGTTACGTTTTATCAATGGGAATAAAATACAAAACAGGAAAAAAATAGGAAAAAAACATACATCCAACAGTGACAATAACAAAAAAAAGTGTGTACAAAAAAGAAAAAAAACCCAACATCCAACATTAAACATAAAAAAATCCACCCTAGCTGAATGCTGAAAAAAAAATAAACCTGATAAATTCTCCTCCCCTTATATAATAAGTCTGCAAATAGTTATAAACTTTCTCATTCTTATTTAACAAGAAAAAGATATAGATCCATATTTCAGATGATGAGGTCTCACCTCCTCATCATAGAGACTTCACAGTCTATTCTCATGGAACCGATTTCTGTTGAAGACATTCCAAATCTGTATTGTGTGTGTGTGGTGTGTGTAAGATGGACAATCTCTAAACCTTGGTATACTTTTTGCAAAGATGTAAGTATAATCTATGAACATCAGCATACTGGCTAGTTGGTCCTTACGTTGAAACAAGCTCATCTGCTTCTTTAAATCTTCTGGCTAGTTTCTGAGCTTAGAAATACATGGAATTTCTAAGCATATTGTTAAAGTTCCCTTGACCCAGAATTGCTGATAAACTTTGCAAGTTTCTTTCTCCCTTGTCCCTGGCATGCAGGAAAACCTAAAGTGGGAGTATTGTCCTCATGGGAATAATGGTTATAGTTATTTTTGGAATCCAGATGTCATCCACATAGGATCCCTCAGAGCTTCAGCTCCAATGCATTATTAGCCAATACAATAGGAAACAAAAGAAAGTGGGGGAGGGACACACTTCTATTTTTTTCTCTGCAGAGGAAGAAAAAGAATCACTTAACACCTGCCTGTTTTAAATTTGTTTATAGTTCCATATAACAACAACAGAGAGAGAGAGGAGGAGAGAGCAGAGAGAAGAGAGTCACTTTGGTCTAGTGCAGAGGTCCCCAACCTTTTGGGCACCAGGAACCGGTTCCCTGGAGAAAGTTTTTTCTGCGGACCGGAGAGTGCATGGTTTCGTGTGCTGCCTGCATTCCCTGGATAGGGCTTTGCTTGTTTGTGCGGACCAGTTGCTGGCATGCCGCAGCCCGATACCTATCCACGGACCAGGGATTGGGGACCCCTGGTCTAGTGGTTAAGGTACCAATCTAGAAGGCAGGAGACCATGAGTTCAAATCCTTCCTTAGCCACGAAAGCTAGCTCGGCAACCTTGGGATAATCACTCTTTCTCAGCTCAACCCACATCACAGGGTTGTTGTTGTGGGGAAAATAGGAGGAGGAAGGTATGTTGGGTATATTTGCTGCCTTGAATTATTTGTAAAAATAATAAAGGCAGGAAATAGATAGACAGACAGATAAACCTCCTTTGTAACTCAGCAGGTTCGGCTGTGCAGCTTTCTTTTATTGCTTGCTTATATGGCATTATTGTCAATGAAAAGTGATTTAGTACCTCCCTCTGAAACAATGCTTAACATGTTTGGTAATTTAAAAAAATTAACAAAACCACATTTAAAGCAGAAAGCATACAGGAACAACAAAGTGACAAACAATATTTTCTGGTTTCACCTGTACTGGTAATTGCTTTAGTCCATCTGACTTGTCTTGTTTTTCTTCAAAAGTTTAAACTAGTATTCTGGAATATTTGCTTTTGAAACTCTCCATGTATTTAAAATTAGTTTGTTACTGAATATTGAATGGAAGGGCTGAAACATGGTTTTGTTTGTTTTTTGGATAAAAGTTCTAGATCTTATCTTGGCTTATGTATTTGTGATCATATCACATTTAGAAACAACTTTGATTTCTAATCTATTTTAAAAGTACAGAGATGAAATTATATGGAAAGCCCCTGTTATAATGAATATTCTGCAGTCTCATCTTTGTAATGTAATATTGTTCCATTGCTATGTTAATCCAATATCACAACTAAATCTTTTCTTGAACATATTTCTCTTTGAACTTTTTAGATGGTATTTTGGTAAAATGGGCAGGAAAGATGCAGAAAGATTACTTTTAAATCCTGGGAATCAGCGTGGTATCTTTTTAGTCAGAGAGAGTGAAACTACAAAAGGTATCTGTCTTTAACTTTATAACTGAATAAAATTAAATTATAATGAATTTGTAATTGTTTATAAGTGTGTTTACAGAAGCAAATATTAAATTGTTTTTTTCTAGGTGCTTATTCCCTTTCTATACGTGACTGGGATGAGATTAGAGGTGATAATGTGAAACACTATAAAATTAGAAAACTTGACAATGGTGGATATTATATAACAACAAGAGCACAATTTGAATCTTTACAAAAGCTGGTCAAACACTATACAGGTAGGTTCTAAATGCTACAGCTGATTCTAGAAGTAAATCATAGCCTTATCAATATATTTCTGAAATGCATGACTGCATACATGACTGCATAAGAAATATTTCTCTGATTGCTAGATCATGCTGATGGCCTGTGTCATAAATTAACAACTGTGTGTCCAACTGTGAAACCTCAGACACAGGGTTTAGCAAAGGACGCCTGGGAAATCCCTAGAGAATCCTTGCGGCTAGAAGTTAAGTTGGGCCAAGGATGCTTTGGTGAAGTTTGGATGGGTAAGTGTTACATGAGGAGAACCATAACTCTTATCATTAAATCTAAGGCTTATGTGCATAATAGGTTAGTTCCAGATCTTATTATCTCCAAATTTTAAAAAAGGATCTTAGATTGCTGAAATGGAAAACATCTTTATAATACTTAGAGAATCACTTTAAATCATTATAGACAATACTGGACTTTTCAGACTTATTTCATAGACTAAAAGCACTGGAAAATTGTTTTTAACTTCTGTTCAACATTTTTAAAAATTGGTTATTTTACACATACCTGACCCCGCTGCAATATTTATATTATACTGAAAATCTTTGTATTGTAACTGATAGCATAATGCATTTATTACGTAGGTACATGGAACGGAACAACAAAAGTTGCAATCAAAACTCTAAAACCTGGTACAATGATGCCAGAAGCTTTCTTACAAGAAGCTCAGATCATGAAGAAATTAAGGCATGATAAACTTGTTCCACTTTATGCTGTAGTGTCTGAGGAGCCTATCTACATTGTCACTGAATTCATGGCAAAAGGTACATTTTACCTCTATATTGAAATCAAATAGGAAAGCAAGAGTATTGTATGAATTTACTATGGAATTATTAGGGCAGAATAGACAGAAAAGTATTTTATCATGATAGATTCCTAGAAGTGTCTGCCAGGACTTTCATTGCAGATTTTGGTTCTTCCCCAATGAAACAGGTAAGTTAGAGTTAGAAAACAGTGTGTGGGCTGCATCAAGGAAGTTTAGTTATGGGACCAGGTTTCTTTCTTACTGTTTTTATTGGGTTTTTTGTTTCATTTTTGTATAATATCAGTTTTATATAATTGTTGTGAGACACCCAGAATTATGGTTCTAAGATGGGTGGCAATCAGGTTTTTTAATTAAATAAGTAAATAAATAAATTTGCCCCCTTAAAAAAAAAGACAAAACTATCATTTCATATTATTCTTAATAACGTTGCTGGCAGTCAGCAGGAAACATATTCAGGAAGCACTTGCTAGGTGTATATAAAAGGCATTAATATTTGCAAGAATCAGATAGTTACATGAATTAATTATTAAATTAAAATTATGTGAAATAAAAATATTTGCTTATTTTTATTTTTTCTTAGTATTATTCTCATATTAAGAGTAATATAAGAATATTATTTCTCAGTATTTCTTATGAAGATCACAATGTTTTGTGTGGGATTGTAGGATTTCTTATATGAATAAAAGGATATAGCTCTGCGAACAAGGATTATTTAAGCAATTGCTGCATTATAACCTGTTTGAACAAAGTTCAATATAGTTAATATTACTTATAGTTCTCAGTTGTATATTAAACCACAATTTCATTACGTGAAAATGAAAGCAAATGCTTTTAGTCATCTTTTGTGGTAAACAAAAGAGAAGAGGAAAGAAACCACAAAAGCTCAATGTTTCTGTGAGTCATTGGTTCTCAACCAGTGATACACATAGCACAGATATAACTCAGAAGTTGCCTAGATGGCACCCAGAGGAAGTCATTGGAATTTTATTTATCACATCTTCAAAATTTATCCTAAACAAGAGCTGTAAGAAACGAATGTCTGTTGATATATAAATGAAAAAGAGGGTTTTTTTGCTACGATAAGATCTAGGATCTTTGACAGATTAATTAATGGGACTTAAGGTATGAAAGACTAAAAACACAGGTAATCCTCGATTTACAACAGTTTGTTTAGTGACTGTTCAAATCTATAATGGCACTGAAAAAAGTGACATTACCATTTTTCACACTTAATGATGGTTACAGCATCCTCTCGGCCACGTTATCAACGTTATCAAAATCCAGACACTTGGCAACTGATCGTGTTTATGACCGCTGCAGTGTCCCAGAGTCATATGATACCCTTTTGTGACCTTCTAAGAAGCAAACTCAGTGGGGAAGCCAAGATTCACTTAACAACCGTGACACTAATTTAACCACTATAGTTATTCACTTAACACCTGTGGCAAGAAAGATTGTAAAATGGAGCAAAACTCAGTTAATATCCAATATTATTTAACTTTATGGAGCTTTTTATATTTGAATTATAAAAAAGTCAGTTTTATTGTATTTGAGAGAATGAAATTCCGGCTAGGAATATACATCATACCAAGTCATTTTGATTTAAGTTCACAATCATTGTGGTTTGCAAACTATGGTTTATAATTTGGTATATATGGTTGCAGAGCCCTTTTATATAATTCCTAGACCCATTCAGTTAACAAATTAGAAGCACAATTGTAGTGTAACCTCCAAAATAATTCCATAATATTTGTTCTTCTCCAAATCCAGGAAAATAAATAGTTGACATGACATTATCTAGTTCTTCATCATTCTAACTTTTCGAATCCTAGACTGGTTAGAGAGGGCACTGTGAAGTGGTATATAAGTCTAAGTGCTATTGCTATTGCTGTCTTTTAAAAAATGTTAAGTGAAGCTTCTGGACACCAAAAGCTTGCCTATAATGCAATACTGCATCCAGTTTTGGTCACCGCGATGTAAAAAAGATGTTGAGACTTTAGAAAGAGTACAGAGAAGAGCAACAAAGATGATTAGGAGACTGGAGGCTAAAGCATATAAGGAACGGCTGCTGGAATTGGGTATGTCTAGTTTAATGAAGAGAAGGATGAGGGGGTACATGATAGCAGTGTTCCAATATCTCAGGGGCTGCCATAAAGAAGAGGGAGTCAAGCTATTTTCCAAAGCGCCTGGAGAGGCAGGACAAGAAGCAACGGGTGGAAACTAATCAAGGAAAGAAGCAATCTAGAACTAAGGAGAAACTTCCTGACAGTGAGAACAATTAACCAGTGGAACAACCTGCCTCCAGAAGCGGTGAATGCTCCAACACTGGAAGTTTTTAAGAAGAGACTGGACAGCCATTTGTCCGAAATGGTATAGGGTTTCCTGCCTGAGCAGGGGGTTGGACTAGATGACCTTCAACTTTACTACTACTACTACTACTACTACTACTACTACTACTACTACTACTACTACTATTATTATTATTATTATTATTATTATTATTATTATTATTATTATTATTATTATTTTGATATTAACTGTGATAAAAATGCCATTGGTCTGTCTTTGCTCCAGTTCTTGCTGCATTAACTGCTCTTACATATACGACAGATAACAAAGAATTATTGCCATTTTTTGCAGTTTCAGGAAGTTGGTAGACATATATTTTAGTAAATGCAGACATCTTTTGCATTTGCTTGTCCTTTCAAAGTTCTGACCCATTATAATGTTTCATGACTGGGCGGAAAAAACTCAGAGGTAAAGCAGCAACACCTTCTAACTGGATGAGACAGGTTTCTTGAAGGATCATTTAATTGAAATAATTATGCGAGAAGCTAGAATACAGCAAAGTCGGTCTCTAATGTTATCTTCATTTACAAGGATGCTTCTGAGCTTTACATAGGCCCCAAAGTATTCTTAATGAAATAAAACAATGGGTATCTGCTGCCAGAAATAAAAAGAAAACGGGCTGAAAACAGTATCCTGGCAGTGAGAAAGTGAAACAGAGACTATTCTCATCAGTTTTTTGTCACTGGCTAATTCCTTCCACTGCAGACTTATTGTGAATAGGCGATACTCCTATGGCAGCCATGTTGTGAAGACTGCTTACACATTCAGAGAAATCTTAATATCCCCCCAAGCCCTGAATAGATACTTATCTCTAATCCAGGTACTATTTTATATGTCTTGAAGCAACATTACTTGACTTCTGCCCATGACATAGAAAATAAATCCAATATTGAATTCATATTTATTTGCATACGTCACTTCTGAATAAATAAATGCAGGGTATAAATCAATAAATAAAAACAAATAAACCATACAAATTATAATAAATTCCTGGCTCACGAAACTGCATATCTGCTTTTGGGGGATGGGGGGGGGGACTCACGTATACAGCCATTAATATTTAAATTGTTGCAAATGTCTGTTAAAACTATGATATATCCAAAGGATTTGGTTAAATATGTTTTATTTTATACATGCCCAAAATTACTATTCATTCCAAAATACTACATAGTAACATATAAGTATTGCTTTATCTGTTAGCTTTATATTGATATTAATAGAATTTTATTTTTAACTATGCCTGAAGTATATATAGAGTTTGAAACTGAAATGTAAATAAAGTATTGTGATACCATTACTATAATTATATTAAACGGAAGCTGTTGTTTTTTGTATCTTTCTGTAGGAAGCTTACTAGATTTTCTCAAGGAAGGAGACGGGAAATATTTAAAGCTTCCCCAACTGGTGGATATGGCTGCCCAGGTACTTATTAAAATATATTGTTTGATTATTAAAACATTCCAATATTACAGCCATTGAATAATATAGAAAGGGTAAAAGTAGTTGCTGATTCTGTCAACAGTCTGATAATAATTATAGATCTTCAGGCGGTCATCTGCATAGGTTTGTCCCTACATAGTAAGGCATTCTGGAACATTCTCTAGTTCAGTTTTTTTGGTGAGAAGATTCTCTAAAGCAGGAATTTCTAATCTTTTTGCCATTACACCTCCCCTTTAACATAAGTTTAACGTACACAACTTCCCTAAAAATCCAAACACCAACATGAATACAAATGAAAAAATACAATGAAACTTTAAGAAAGGATAATTTATTCTAACAACATAACTAGAAAGTTCTTCACACCTCCCCTGGACTTTGTCTGCACCTCCCCAAGGGAGCTACATCTTGGAAAAGGCTTTTCTAAAGTATCTGCCCACTGAACCTCTCAGACTGCTAGTATACTCAAAGAAAGAAAGTATCCTGCAGAGGGTAACATGGTGAATCAACATGACAGGTGACATGTAAGCAATCTTTTGTTATCATTTGTGGGTTTTTATGGATTATATCTGTTGGGCCTTTTTTAGAAACACTTATAAGTAGTGGCATAAGCAGAAAGCATTCAAGAATGTAGGTTTCCAATGAGTGTCTCTACTGCAAACCTAAGAACGCCAATATGAAAGAATTCCAGTGTCTACTATGTGTCAAATGCAAACCCTATTTATAGTGAAATCAACATTCAAAGTTTTGTGTCTTGTGTCCACATGTGCACAGTGCAATGGCCCTAAAATTCTCTCTTTTGGGCAAATAACATAGTTTCTAATTATTCCTTATTGTGATAATATAATAATCTCATTCATTTCATGCTATTTACTTCTAAACCTGTCAAAACCTACTATGAACACAATATATAGGAGAAAAGCTATCTTCTCAGTGATCACATCAAAATGAGGGAAATAATAGCAGGTTCAAAACTGATATCTACTATAATCTAGGCTTCGCAAATGTGGATGGTATAGACATAATTGAGGTCCTAAATATGTGATTCAGACATGGCAGTAACTGCCCTGGGGAAATTGCCCACAAACAACAGATGGCACAGGCAGATGTTGTAGTTTGTCAAACAAAATCATTTCAATAGTGGGAAAACTTTTGCTAGGCAGCAAATGAAGGAAGTTTGAATCAAATAAAACGATTTCATGCTGTCAAGGTAAAAGACAAAACTCCTTTTCATATCGAAATGGTTATTTCAATGTGGTTGGTAGGATAAGGGAAGAAAGCTGAAAAAAAAACAATGTTCTCACAAAGACTTTAGAAAATATTTTCAGAATGAAGGTAGAATTAGGGCACAAAGTAACTTTGTTCTTAGCTACACAATGTACAATGAGGCAATTCTTTAGAAGCAAATAGTTTGCTTCTTCAGAATATTGGCATATTTTGCAAATGTAACAACTGTTCAAAATGTTACTTTAAAGGGTAACCTATGGAATGAAGTGATAGTTAAAGAGTTGAACAGTGGAGACAAGTTGAGACAGCAGCAAATAGTCTCTCCATTGTGGGTGAACTTTGATACCAGAAGATAATAAGATGACAACCTGACCTATAATTTGAGGATCAAAAAAGTATAGAATGCGAAAAATCCACCATCATGTCTATGAAAGACTGATAACAACCAAATAATTTTTAGTGAATATACAAGTTTTTCTTTTTTAAGAACAAAGAAATTGTGAAATTAATTCCACAGAGCAAAACACAGGGACTGACACTATTCAGCTTTTAGGTAAGTCAGACAGCCCACTCTGCCCTGTAAAAAGGTATAGCGGATTGTTTCCAAAGAAAGGTATCATTTGTGCAGAGGTAATCATCTGTAACTGGCTGATTTTCCAAGTCAACAGTCATAGCATTTGGAATCTTGGATGGTGCATCTGGCCTCCACATGAGAACACTGTAGGAGATTCTTGATAAGGAGATTGTGTTGAAACTTGCTCTTGGCTAAATGCAATAGGTCTGTGCAGACGATCCTGTCCCAACAAAGCTTCATGACTGCCCTTGTGAGCAGAGGTATCACAGGATACACTTACAATAGGATGCCTGTCCAGTTTGGAAAAAGAATGCATCTGAGAGAGAAACAGGATGCTTTTGAAAATTACTGCAACATAGTATACTGTACTGTATATCGGCGGTTTTGAATATTCATAAAATGATCATTCCTAACCATGAAAAATTCTGTCAAAGAAACAGGATCACAATTTGAAGTCCTATGCCACAGTCCAAATATAGCTGAGAATATCTGCTACAATAATTCATTTTTAGGGGGATGAATTATTAAAAATGTGATTTGAAATATACCAGTGCTAGGGTAGGATGCACTCATGGAGTTTCTCTGGGCTAGGCTGGAATGCAACAGTAGATCCTTTGTGTTTATAGACCTGTGAAGGTTATAAATGTGAAGAATGATCATAAAGTTGCTTTTATCATCACTTTCATAACTGCAAAAGTCTCCAAATGAGGCAGTTCTTAAACAAAGACTACCTATATATTTCTTATTCTAGTCCTTTTAATTACAAACTGCCCAGAGTTGCTCAGGAATTTAGCTATTTCAAAATCAAATAAATGAAATACAATATTCAAGTTTGACTAGTCAATAATAGGAAAGAAACCTGGCAAGATCCATGAATTAATGCACTTGATTGAATGTAAATAACCTCCAACTTGATTGAACCCAGGCTCACCCATATATACCACACTATTTGCATCAGACAAAGGCAAGATTTTCCCTCAGAGACAAAAAGATTTAGATTAGGTTGAAGTGGTATGTGAGGTCACTTTAAAAAGAATTGGCCAAGTAGAATTGAGCTCTATGTGAGATTCAGGCAGAAGGCTCAACATCTCTCTAAATAATTACTACAGGTAGTCCTCATTCAATGAGTTTTCATTTCAGATTGAAGTAGCATCTGGAAGAATATGTTGCAATCCCCCAATCTCTAAAGAAGAAATGCAGATAAATAAGTTTCATATTCTGAGATGGAAGCCAGTGATGCAACATACAAATACTTTTAAAAAGAGAATGAAGCTGAAGCATATGGATAACATCTAC